CTTTGGCCTGGAACTTGCCAAGTAGGCTTGGCTAGGTTAGTCAGCTATTGTGTCCCAGGGATCTGCCTGTCTTTGTAATCACAGGGATGGGGTTACAAGCACACACTACCATACACAATTTTTCCTATGGGTTCTGGGGTTCAAATTCAGGTCCTTATGCTTGCATGGCAAGTACTTTCCCAACAGAGCCATCCCCCAGTCCCCAGCTTTACTCAATATGGCGCATACTTGCAATTCAAACAGCATTACCTGCTTATTTGCTCACATGTCTGTCACCATGACTACTTTGTAGGACATCAGAAACGGGGCTGGAAGGAGGTGCAGGCTTCCTCGCCCTTTCTTCAGTGGTTCACTTATCCATTTCCTAAATCAGTTTGACTCAGCTGACCGGGTAGCCAATCACATTAAGTCTACGCATTGAGCAAATCCCTGCCATGCTGGAGCCAACCCTCTCTGGTGCCTGTGGAGAGTAAGGAGGAACCAGGAGGTTGCCACACTTTAGTGTGGCTCTGTGGTCTACTAAAACATTAGGATAAGATGTTGGGGACAGACAGGTTGGCACTGTGTCATTTATTCAAGATATAGTCCCTGAGCCTCTCCACTCTGCCCCCTGTCCTGTTTTGAATGGGGCCTTGTGATGAAGACACAGTGATCTTCCATGGCTGGGTCCAAGTCCCACAAGACTGAAATAGTTTTCAACTTAGGGGTGTGTTGTAGCTTGAAACAAAGTTCCCTTACAGGACACTGGGAGTCTGCTTTCTTTGTTCCTGCCCTCTAGCTGGCAGTCACTGCCCAGGAGTGCATTCTGAGGGTGGTCGTATGGGGCTCTTTAACCAGTATAGGAGGGCGGTGAGTTTGCATTGCTCTATGTGTCAGCGCAAAGAAATTTCAGTTTGAATTGACATTTTATTTTATTTTTGATTTTTGAGACAGGGTTTCTCTATAGCTTAGAAGCCTGTCCTGAAACTAGCTCTGAAGATCAGGCTGGCCTCAAACTCACAGAGCCTGCTTCTGCTTCCCAAGTGCTGGGATTAAAGGCGTGCACCACTGGGTTGACTTTTTTGCTCAGGCAATAATAAATGAATGTTTATTTTTCTTTCTCCTGTTGTTTATTTTTCAGGCAGAAGTCATTTTAGCAATAGTTTGTAAGTTTCTGACTGTAATGTATCTGGACTAATTTCACAACCTTTTCAACTTGGTATAAAGAAGCAAATATCTTGGGTCAACTCTTTTTTGAGGTAGGTATTGAACCCAGAGCCTCATGCATTCTGGATAAAGAACAGGAACTACAGCCCCCAACATAACTACAGTCCCCTAAATTTAAAAAAAAATATAAATACTTTAAGAGTGACTTAAGAAGTTGCTTTTATATCTAAAACATCATGTGATACTTAGAGTTGACATTGTTCGCAACCGTGGCTGAACAGTCCTCGCGTGGCTGCTGTATACTGTGAAGTGTGGAATGTAGACATGTCTGTGACCTTACTCCCCTACTAGAGACGTCATTCAAGTGACTCGGTGAATGGCTGTGGGGATAATGAAGCCTGGACAAAGATATTTCTTGTAGATCAGCTGAAATGAATCACTTTTATCGCACACTTAAAATGGTTTCCTTATGACAGAAGTTTGTATGTCACAATTTCTGTAAGACCGTTTCTGCCGGGTGGTGGTGGCGCACGCCTTTAATCCCAGCACTCAGGAGGCAGAGGCAGGTGGATCTCTGTGAGTTCGAGGCCAGCCTGGTCTACAGAGCGAGTTCCAGGATAGGCTCCAAAGCTACAGAGAAACCTTGTTTTGAAAAACAGAAACAAAACAAAACAAAAGACAGTTTCGACATAAGGTACGTTAGGCGTGAGGAGTTGGATAAACAGACATGTCCTCATAAACAATGATCAAGAAGATTCCAAGTAAAAGAAGACACAGACACAATGAAATACTTCTCTCATCAAAAACATATTTTCAAATACTTAAAATAAGGCCAGTTCTACTTAATCCTGAGAAATGCAGGAAAAGGGGTATTTATTATTTAGTTTTTGTCTTTATGCCAAGTCTCTAGCATTAAGGGATTAAAAAGAACAGAGCCCTGGATTTTCAGTGGTCTGCTCATTTATTAAAATGTCCAGTGACAATGAGATTTAAATTTCCACCCATGTCCGGGGGCAGCCCTAGCACTCTGACGAGCACTGACCTAGCACCTGTGCTCTGAGCTGTTACAGCTCCGTCTACACAATGGATGCTAGCATGGGACTGGTTACAGGAGAAGGCAGGACAGAATCTATAAGCGCTAAACTAGTGACTAGTGACCAAAAGAAATCAGTTATTTTGTCAGTAATTAATAATATAATTTCTTCAATGGCATAGCACTTCCTGAAAGAATCCCAGTTCTTTTAGCTGAACCCTTATTAATTTGACTGAGTCACTTGACTTCCTTGGGCCTTAGCTTCCTCATTTATGAATGGAACAGAAGTGACAAGACTGTGGCAGGTCTGCTGTGATTCCCCTCGGTTGCCTTGACTACAGTGTTTTTATCACAATAGAAGTGTCTCCAGTACTCAGACTGGGCCGGGGAGGAGTCCACAGTCAGGGCACCTTCTTGTTTAGGTGCACATAGTAAACACTTGGCTTTTCTAGGGTGGATGATTTTCCTTGAGCTCCTTAGAGCCCACTGAAAAGCCTTTATCTCTATCTAAGAGGAAATGCCTCATGCCCATCTCTCGTGCCCAAATCTACTGTCCCCAACATTCTGCATCCTCTTGGATAAGCTTTGCTACTGTAAAGCTCCTGTCTGCTCACCTTTGAGGCTCTGCCACGTCACTCACCTCACTTAAATCTACAACTCTCTTCCCTCAACTCCCCTGAGTTTGTGGCTGGTTCCTCTAGAGATGCTCCGCTTTGTGTTAGAATGATTTGTACATGTCTCTTCTTGTTTATTACATGCGAGCCTCACAAAAACACTTGGAGTCCCAGACATATATCTAACAATGATGGGACTGGTAAATATTCACTGTGTTAAATTTTATGATAATTATGATTTCCAGAAAAAGGTATCCTAAGTCCCTTTACTTTCTCACTGTTAAATATAGCCACAATTACGTGATCCAATTACACAGTGGTTTCTCTATGAGTAAGCGCTTTTGGCTGCTGCTTCTTCAGGTAGACTTTCCTATCCTTATGGGTACTGAACCATTTTCTAAGGCAACAATCATTTATCTCTGCAGAAAGTATCACTGCTGCGTCTTTCTCTGTAAGCCGTGTTACCACAGTGGGTAGCTGTGGTCCTTTACCATGGCTCTGTGGCTTCAGTCTGCAGCCACTCCAGAGAGCGTCTCTAACGTGTTCTCCCTCCCTGGTGAAGGCTAGCAGTCCCCTCTATTTCCTACTGTATAAAGTAACGGGGTTCAGTTTGTGGTTGCTCCTGCCCCCCTTCGAGCCTCTGAGTCCTTCTCACCGCACTTCTCACAAGCTGCACACATTTCAGCTATGTTTCCTCCTAGGGAAAGAGTTCTCTGTTCCACCTGCCCTCCACTTTCGGCCCTAATGGCCCTGGCTGCCGGAGAGGTAACACTCATCTTCCTGTCCTTCTACCCTCTAGTCAATCCTCTCCTGGGCCCTCATGTTCGGAGTTGCTGTCAATTCTGATCTCAGCCTTTAAAAATGACATTGTGATCTGGTTGACAGCTAGGTCTTTAAATTGCTTTTGCATTTCTCCAGCTGTGCTCAAGGCTGCTCAGCTTTTCTTATGCCAGAGCTACACATGCACAGGCTTCTCAAGCCAGGGGCCAGGCTTGGGTAGGAAGAACCTTCCTCTCTGGAAGGAAACGGAGTCCTTGGGATTCTCAGATTTGGAAAGATGGAAGACTGAGTCAGTTTGGGGCTACAATCACAAAGGAAAGCGAGGCCCGTCCTGGAATGAGCAGATGGAGCACAAAACATGGGCCTGGCTCACCACCCCTGTGTCCCTCAGATACCTAGCAAATGGTAGGAACAGAAACACAACAATGTATTATCAAACCTTACTAATGATCACACCGAACCATGTTAGTGAAAACTCACACCACTAAACTTCACCTGGAAGGTGGGAGTGTTGCATCCTGTAGGAACTGCTATAGTCAGTCTAGCTGGACATTTTGTAATGACTTCAACCATGAAAATTTATTATCTAATCAAAAACATTATGATTAATAATTAGCAGCATTATGTCCAATCAGCAATGAATAATTTGAGCCTAATTGTGAACAGGAAACTTTGTACCCAGTCATGGGAAGTACAATGGTGACTGAGAGTTCTGGCTTGGGGTGGCAGGTTCCCTCCCTGGCGTCGATCCTAATGCAAAGGTAACAGTAGGGTGTGCTTGTGAAACTATGGCCACAGAAGGTTAGCGGACAGCCATCTGAGCCACCTGAGCTGTCAGCTCAAGAAGAAGGCACATGTTGCTGGGGTTTGGTTGCTAAGTGCAGAAAAGAGGCTCTGGTGCCAGGTTAACAGTCTTGCAAATGCAATAAATATTTCTTCCCTCCACCCAGGAAGCACATACAGAGTATGAAGAGCCAACTGGCAGTTTAAAGAATTGGGTTAGTCAGACACAGGGAAATTTCTGATTAATTGGACAATTACTTCAAAATCTGAGTAAGTCAAGTCAATGTTAGAGAGATATCTTGACCAACTGGGAAAAAATTCAATAGCCTGAGGCAACATTTTTTAAGCTTATAAGTGTTAAAATAGACTGGGATTAGGAGCCCAATTTTTATAGACTCATGTTCCCAAATGTTTAGGGACTGTAACTATTCTTTAAGGCCAAACTCACTGAAAGTTATTTTGGTTTTGAACAACTATGGCAAACTTGCTTGTCACTCTTATGAAATAATTGTGGATCTAAGAACATGGCAAAATGAGAAGGTGAGGGTCAGCAGGAAACAATCAAGCTTCATGGAGTGGCTCAGCTCCATACAGCACAGTGCATGCCTCTGCTCTCTCCCCAGAGTCTGCAGGCACAGCCTCACCTGGTGGGGGCGTGTTTCTGCTCTTCCTCCTCATCTGTGTCGCTGCTGATGGTGATGACACTGACGGTGGGGCTGGGGGTGTCAGGGATGACAATCGTCTGTCGCTGTCGCTCCCTTGTGGTGCTGGAGGCCACATCACCCCACCCACAGGTGACTGAGGTGCTGCAGGCTGGGCTGTTGTGCACCATGGCACACCGTGGGGGAGTGTTCTCCTTGACACGCTTGGATCGCTGAGGGGAGCTGGTAGCTTGTGAAGAGGTCACCTCACAGGTGGAGACATTTCTGTAATGACAAAATAACACATACTTACAGAGAAAACTCAGGCCCTGTATCTCTATCCGAGTGGGTCCAACTTTCATCAAACACCAGACTTAGCAAATCTCCACAGAAAAAGTCTGAGTCCCAGACCAATTGGCCCCCATCTGTACAGAACATGTGGTGCCTCTCTCTAGAGTCAGTCACTATGGGATCTCAGCAGGGCCTTCTCTGGGCTCTTGTCTTGAGAGCTGGTTTTCTAGGGGCAGTTGTCCTGATTTTAGCTACCTCATCCAACATGGCTGCATAGGATAACCTTCAGGATTAACACAGCTTTTGGCTTCATCTAATCCTCTCTCAGTGGTTCATGATTCTTGTTTTAGGAGCGATGAAAAAAATGGTGTTTGCCACACAAGGTTGTGGTTTCCTTGCTGACGGCTGATTTATTATTTAACTGCCCACCCCCGTCCCCTGCCCATGCTGGGAACTGAACCCAGGTTCTCACAGATGCTTTAGCTAAAGGACACAGTCTCGGCCGTGGGTGTGTGTAAGTGTGTACGCCAGGTCAGTCTCAGGGCATGTTCCTCAGGAGTGTCCAGCTTGTTTGGAGACAAGGCCTCTGCCTGACCAGAACTCCCCAATTTAGTGGTTGCCCAAGTTCCTGAGGACTGGCCTGTCTCTGACCTCTTCCCCCAGCACTTGGATTACAGGTTACACTGCCATGATCAGCCTTTTTATGCAGGGTTTAGGGACTAAGGTCTTGGTGCTTGTGTGGCAAGCATTTACAGATGGAATGATCTCCCAGCCCCTTGGCTCGCCTTGCCCTTCTTTCTCTTCTGGGAAAAGCTATGATCATTCAGATTTGTGTACAATAAAAAACAAAACCCTTTTGGATTTTGACCTGAGCCTCATGGGAGGCTTATTAATCAATTTTAATTGTAATAAAAAACTTGGAACAAATGAAAGAGGAAGAAGGTATGCTTTAATAGGCACTTTAAAAAATTATGGATAAGCCAAATTCAACTACTGTAATACACTTCCAAGTCTTTTAAAATTATTTATTAGTTTTAGATTTATTTATTATTTCATGTGAACGAGTGTTTTTCCTGCATGTATGTATATGTATGCTGATGCCCTAGGAGGTCAGGGTTTCAGATCCCCAGGGACTGGAGTTACAGACAGTTGTGAGCTGCCACGGGAGCTCTGGGACTCAACCCTGAGTGCTCTAGAACAGTCAGTGCTCTCAACTGGTGAGCCTTCTCTCTAGCCCACCAAAAGGGCCTTTTAATTTAGATCGATTGATTCTATATTAGTTCTGGTAACTTTAGGGAACAATTACCTTTTTTTCTTCCTATCAAATCCTTTGTTGATCCTTTTAGAATCTATGCAGTGAAGACCAAAGTCAAAAGAGAATAAATCTTTGAGCCTACTATGTCCTTAGAGAGTCTAGTACCTCTAAGTGAAGAGAGAGAAATAAGATGAAAATAGTTTAATAAAGGAGAACTTGATTTTGTCCATAGCAGGCTTTAGCTGCATTTGTAAAGTCCTTTCTGGAGCAGGTAGTACGGCTTTCTGGCTGACTGCTCCTTTTACTCTGTGATGTGTGCTATAGCTTGTACAGTTTCAGCACTTACAGTATGTCGACTGGCATTGCTACAGGAAAAAGCATGTCTGCCGCATTACGACACAGGGAGGGCCGTCTGTGTAGTTTCTCACAGTTTTGCTGTAGACTGATCTTCCAGCACTCAGGAGGCAGAGGCAGGTGGGTCTCTGTAAATCTGAAGCCAGGATTCGTCTACATAGTGAGTTTTAGGCCAGTCAGAGTTTCAAAGTGAGACGCTATCTCATAAACCGTAATAACAAACACTTGAGGAGACGATTTGCAACTATATGGATTCTGACCTGCATAAGCACTGTGTTCACCTGAAAACGCTGAGTGGTGAGAAGACAGGGAAGGATTTGCTGAATTGGTTGTGGGGCAATTGTGACAAGGTGATCACAACAACGCTAAGCTCAGTTCTGTGTGATCAGTATCCTAGTACGGCACCTGTCTTAGTCTGATGGAGCACAGAGACCAAAGCAGTGGTTTCTGTTGCCTCTGATGACATTGGCATGCTGTCATAGGGCTGCCACACAAAAGCATTCTGGGGAGCTACCACTGATATAAGCAGAATTTCCTTGTGTTATCAGAAATACCCTAACAATGGATTATGAAGAAGGATGCCAGCTAGAGGGAAGTCAGTCCTTGAATTAATTTTTGAATAAGAATGAAGGAGACAGATCTAGCTTCTGGCACCTGGCTATATGAGGAGGAAGAAGAGACAGAAGATGAAGAAGAAGGAGGAGGAAGAGAAGGAGGAGGAGGAGGAGAAGGGAGGGAGAGAGGGAGAGGGAGGGAGGGAGAGGGAGAGAGAGAGAGAGAGAGAGAGAGAGAGAGAGAATTCACTAGTATGATGGCTAGACTTGACACACCAGCAAAGAGAAATCTCAAAAAAAACTGTGTCCATCAGATTGGCCTGCGGCATGCTTGTGGTGAATTTTTCTTACTGCTAATTGATTTAAGAAGGCCCAGCTCAGTGTGGGTGCTACCATCCCTGTGCACTGTATAAGAAAGGTAGTTAAGCATGAATTTGGGAGCAAGCCAGCAAGCAGTGCCCATCCATAGCTCTGCTTTTAGCTCCAGCCTTACCTTTCCTGGATGATGGGCTATAACCTGTAAGATGAAATAAACTCTTTCCTTCCCAAGTTGTTTTTGTCCGGAGTCTTTTTATTACAGAAACGGAAAGGCAAATTAGAACAACTAGATTTTTTTTTTCTGTCACCAATTTCTTTTGTTCAATCCATCCCAAATGAACAAAGATGTGCATCTAAACCATGGGACACTGTGGGAGCAATTCTGTGTTTGCATGACCTAAATCTACTTGACTAGCTATAGGTGGTGGGCTTTGCTCTTGCTGTTTGTTTTTAGAGTGGAGCCTAGAAACCTCTGTTTAAAAGTCAGGCTTATTGACCTCTATAGCTGATACTATATACACTAACACTCTCTCTGAAGTCTTTGATGAGTTACTGACTAATCTATAGTTACAAACCACACCTACAACCCAGATGTGGAACTTCTTTTACTACCTTCCCTTGAGGCTCCTTCCCAAGAACTCCCTTCTCCATGGCCCAGCCCCTGGTACTGCTGATTTATCTGTGTTTGCCTTCAACAAAATGACATAAACACAGCCTTGTGTCAGTGTTGAAGGTGTACAAGTTTAGAGGAATGGGAAGGATTAGCCATCCACTGCTAAGCATCTGGGAGTCACCAAAGTTATATTTAAGCCATCAGCCAAATGTGTTCACGTGGGAGGCATTCTGTAGTTTCATGATCTAGAGCTAACTTGTTAGCTAAACAGCTTATTTTTAAGTTATGAGTTATATTTCTGACCTTAAATCTCAATGAAAGTGCATTTCTCTAATGTTTTTGAAAAAGATATCTTGGTAATTTGTACTCATATGGAAACTCAGAGGCTTGTTGTTTCTAAAAAAGATGACAGAGATTGTGTGGCCAACTTTAGTCAGACTTTGAACCTCCTCATAGGCTCAGCTGTGCCCTTCTGATAGTCTGGTTTCAGCTAAGAGCCTTGCTAGTTCATTTCAATTAGAGGTCCTCCCCATTCTCTTGATATATGATCAGATTCCTCATCCTCCGCTGTCCCTTGGATGACAGCTAATCACCATCACAGAATCCTGTTAGAGGATCTAACTCTGATGCATGAACTGACTCTGTGGAGCCCATTCTCTATGGAGAGATACCTTGCTCAGTCTAGGCTCAGATAGGGGTGGGGTGGGAGAGGGCCTTGGTCTAAACTCAATGAGGTGATGGGACAGACTTAGTTACTTCCCAAGGGAGGCCCTTAATGTCTCTGGGGAATGGATGGGGGGTGGGGTGGGGGTGGGGTAAAGTGGGAGAGTGGGAGGAGAGGAGGGAGGGGGAATGGATGGGTATAAAAAAATTAAACAAATTAAAAAAAACGAGAGAGAATCTTGTTAGGATGATTAAGCCACAATCCTCCAATTTCTGTTGTCTCCTAAACATTGTTTCCCCTACATGATCTAGACACTACTTCCTTGCCCATGCTAAGTGCAGAGCTGAGCCTTCTTCTTCCTCCACTGCAGCGTTTGGACCCATACCCACGGTCTCAAATGAAGTCTTCCTTACTGTGATTTACTACTTGTTCTTTAAGAAAGGACCGAAGCACTCAAGACATCAGGCACACCATGGCTTCAGGCCTCCACCTTGGAGAGTCAAGGGGACAGAAACTAGGGAGATTCAAGAGGCAGGGTTGCATGTGCACAGAGCCCAGAGAGCACTTTTAGCATGCTCTGGAATGTTCTGTGGACTGTAAGGTGTTCCCCCAGCTCTTGTAGGAAGAGCTGTCTCTACCAGTGCCAGGGTAGTACACCAGTAATCCCCACTTCCGAGCAGTGTTTAGCATTCCAATCTTCTGGTGTTTCTGGCCACCAAGGCTCTCGGCACCTACCTCACGGATGACTGGTGCTGCTTACTCTTCCTGGAGGAGGTGGTGCTGGTTGGTTGTTGCCTCATCACATGGGCTACACCCACATTTAAGGGCTGGGCTGCTGGAAGGGTCACATGTCCAGTCAAGAGTGTAGGTTGCTGCATGATGGGATTGTAATGGCTTCCATGAGCATGTGTGTTCCTGAAAGAGAAAAGGGAGCAGAAGGCCATTTAGTGGTTTTTATAGAAGCTGCGCTCTTTAATGAGATGAAGCGTCTTCCCAGAGAAAAGCTATCTCTCACTGAAGAGATGAGCCTTGCCAGGTGAGTTGGCACGTGGGCTTCCCAGAACTGCAGAGTGGGAGTCCTGTGCTGAGGAAGTAGAAATCAAGCTGGTTGATGAGAAGCAGGCCTTTCAAGGGGAAAGAATGTTGAGTTCTAGAGAGATGGGATGGACAGCCCCTCCAGCCTTTAGAGTCCCTGGACAGGTGACTATGCATTAATATGCCCATTTCATTTCAGAATTTACATAGCAACTTAAATGGGTTCTTTTCTTCTGCTTTGTGAGGTAGGTAGGATGTTTTAGAAATACTATTTTATTAATGAGGAAATTGTAGTTAATGTGAAAAACAAACTGATGACTGGGAGCCATATGTTTCTGGCATTAGGAATCATTAACGTTCTTTTGAATTCCCTCAGTAGCTAACACAATGCTCAGGCATGTAGCAGCTGATCAGTTAATTACACGCTTGCTGAATGAACAATTAGATTAACTGAAGGGTGACTAGACATGTATAGAGTTTGTATTAAATCAAAATTAATAACAGCTATACACATGCAGAGAGAAATAGGCTGGCAGCCTCCGTCCTGGGAATAGGTGACATTTTAGTCTTCCCATCTAGGCTGGATGGTGTTTGAAGCCTTGTTTTCCAACAGAAACATTTAAGGTGGTGATTAATTCAAAGATTTGTCCATAAAAGCACATTTAACACACAATAAAATTAAAAGCTAAAGAATTCATTCAAACTTTAAAAAGATATAAATTCCATCTTTGTAACTTGAAGGGATAAACAAGAGAAAGAAAGATGAGCATTTTATAGTGAATCTGATAGTCTTGTAGACATGTGCACAGCCTTTGGAAGTGCTGTGGTGGCCTCTTCCTGCTGCTGACTCCCCCACAGACAGGCAGGCCCTTTCTCTTGGAGACAAGGGCAGCACTGGCGTTCCTCTTTTGTCTTCTGGTTGTGGTTATGGTTGCTCTTTTGACCCATAGTGAAATGCAGAGACTGGGGGATACCAACTAAGAGATGGAAGAAAGGTGGAAGAAGGCAGGATAAGAAAGTATGCATGAATAAGTGCATGAATATTGCTGAGATTGAGCTCTAACTGCTGAAGGACAAAGGAAAATACGATGTGGTGGTGGTAGTGTCTTTCAGGAGAATGAGGGGGAGGGGAACAAAACCGTAGGTCACATAGCTTTCCACTTGGCTGCTACTCCTAATGAGCTTGAAGAAAGGCAATCCCGCCTACTGTGAGCTGTCGTGAATGGGTGAAGGGAAGATGCCAAGCCTATTCATTCTGTCATGTTCAGGCACCACTGCACTGAATGGTAAAGACAGCCAAGTGCTTTGTGTTCCATTTTTGTTGACGCCCCTCTACCCCTCAACCCTGTGAGGTAAACATCACGACCCCATTTTATTGAAAAGGAAACTGAGGCCATAAAAGTTAAATAACCCGCCCTAGTTCTTGCAGAGCCAGAAGAGAAACCAGTTTTGCCTGGTTTGAAAGTCCTTCTACTGAGTGCAGACTGCAGCCATGGGATGGCCCATGTTCTCTCCCCCTGTTAGTAGTCAGAAAGTAGTTTACATGGAGGAGAAAGCTACAGCAGACATGAGTCAGGGGACATATTAGCCTCCTGCCTACCTTTTCCTGAGAGTTACTTACTTATTCAGACAGAGTTTCACTATGAAACTCAGGCTGGCCTCAAACTTGTGATTCTTCTGCCTTAGCCTGTGTGCCAAGACTTCAAATATATACTACCATTCAACTCAAGAATTCTATGCTCAGAAAAGGAACTAGGGAGACCCTCAGGATGGTAATACAGCTACCAGAGGACAGCAGGGAATAATTTCTGCAGGAGGAACAGCCCAAAGGGGCCATAGAGCTGGGGACAATTTGAAGGCTGTCATACGGCTCTGTACTGGTCAAGCAGGGCATTGTGGTGGTGTGCGATGAGGGCCAGAGAAAAGTGACAAGTGCTTATGAGAACAGCGGAGCAGGGTGTCCACGAGGGGGTCAGTGAGCTGCATGGGCAGCTTTGGAAACAGATGCAGGGTGCAGGTAGGCAGTGGCTGGAGTCCCTGGGGTCTGTGGAAGGGGAACTCTTCTCCAAAAGACACACTGATAACTGAAGACGCACATTTAACAAACACGCTAGAGCTTATCCTTCCAAATACAACTCATCTGTCAAACTTTCCCTGGGGAGCTCAGACAGACAGGCACCTATGTCTCAAAACTTCATGAGAACACTTCTGAGAATTGCTTAGGGCTTTGGGGACTCTCTTCTGTATTCCTTCACTGGTGACAAATGTTTGCTTTCTGAAAGGATCTTAATTCTGAGAAAACCCAGCCAGGTCTGGTTTAAAAGATGTAACTGAGTTTTGGTAGAACGTGCTAGCTAACTATAAATCAATAGAGCTGAATGTCTGGGCTCCTGGTATACTGTTTAAACCACCACCCATTACACTGTGGCCGTAGCCCACATGATATTTTCTGCCGGAGGTGGACACAACTCTTATTCCAATAACACTGCTTGACCCAAAAGGATTTCCTGCTCACCTCCAGTCGGCCAGTTGCTGAGTGCCTGCCATGGTCTCAGGAATCACAGCTGCATGCTGCACGGACGTGTGGGTGGCCACGCCAGTTAGCTGCTGCCAGGCTGGAGGAAGCAGGATCTGTTGGGCCCCACCTGGCCAGGCCTGCTGTAAGACAGGACAGTGACAATCACCACATTTTGTTAGTCACCTAGCTGACTTGTACAAGTCCAGAACTTGATTTGTGTGTGGATCTTGTAATGGATGAAGTGTAGACTAGTTGTTGGCTTCGAAATACCAAGGAAGAGCGGGAGAGATGGCTCAGAGACCACTTATCGTCCCATAAATTCTTTTTTAAAAATTTATTTATTTATTATGTATACAATATTCTGTCTGCATGCAGACAGACATGTCTTCAGAGGGCACCAGACCTCATTACAGATGGTTGTGAGCCACTATGTGGTTGCTGGGAATTGAACTCAGGACCTTTGGAAGAGCAGGCAATGCTCTTAACTGCTAAGCCATCTCTCCAGCCCCATCCCATAAATTCTTAATGTCAGCTGACAAAATGAAAGAAATGATTCTATGAGTTTATTAATTATAGCTAACTATTTCAAGTCCACTGAGTTCACAGAAGAGAAATAAAAGTTAACTAGTAAAACCACTGTAAATTCAAAATATTTAAGAAGCCATGTGTAGTGGTGCACACCTTTAGTCCCAGGACTCAGGAGGCAGAAACAGCTGGATCTCTGTGAGTTCAAGGCCAGCTTGGACTACATAGCAAGTTCTAGCTCAGCCAGGGTTCATGTTTAAACTCTGTATTAAAAAACAAAACAAAACAAAAACCAGTTTTAATGTCAGTTAGGATTTTTACTGCTTAGTGGTCTGGAACTCATTTCCAATTCCATGAAAAACACGAGCTTTGACTAATGTCATTAGAAATGTATCTTGATATCTTGATAAGGTGATCTTTTTTTCTCCCCTATTTCCTTGAATTTTACCTCAAAGCCTTAAGGGAAAAGGCAATTTTTTTCTTAACCTTTATCATTGGCTGTGAAAATGATGCTTACAAATACAACCAGCTCATTTAGATGACATTACATCATGTACCTATAATTTATTATGACTACTACAAAGAAAAGAACTAATATTTCTTTTAAGAATTATTACTATTATTGTGTGTATATGACATGAGAGTGCATACATGCATTCGGAGGTTCTGGAGACAACCTTTGGGAGTCAGTTCTTGGTTTTCTCCTCCTATTTTGCGATTCAGGACTTGAATTTGGTCATCAGGCCTTCAAGGCAAGCACTTTTAACTGCTGAGCTATATTGCTGTCCCCATCTTCTTTTTTGAGACAGGATCTTGCTATACATCCCATACAGCACCTGAGCTCAGTACCCTCCTTGTCTCAGTCTTCCAAGTGCAGGAATTATGGACACACACCACTGTGCCTGGCTGGAGCTAATATTTCTTGATCTGTACTGTGTGCCAGTGTTTAGTCATAAATGGATTTTTGAACTTAATATTGGTCCTATGAGGTAAGAACTACTATTTATTTCCATCTCTTAGGTGAATAAACTGAGACTGAGAGGTTAAATGACTTGCTTAGAAAATATGGCAAATTATTTCTTCTTTTCTCTGAACCCAACATGACAGGGAAGAAATAAAATATATAGATCCATAGACGCAAGCAGACTGGAGGACAGATAATAACAGTTAAGACTGTAGAGGTCTAACAACACATGGCCAATTGCCAAGAAAGTTAGCATACTGAATTATTCTAAGATAAATCTGCATGTGAAGCTTGGCTAGATTCCCGCTGCAGGTGTCTGCGGTCCAGACATTGCGGGGAAAAGAGCTACAGGTATGACTTGAGGGTAAGGGTCTGCCAATGGAAATGCTGGGCTTGCTTTTATCGTTCCGCAGGGAAGGCAGTCCATCCTTGATCAGCTTTCTCAGCGTGCTGAGCAGTTCAATGTTTCCGTCTCGGCCACGCACGGACAGCTAAGGCAGCCTTTAGAAAGCATCTAACGTGAAGCCATCATGGCCAAAATAAAATGGAACTCACATGAAACAAAAGCAATGTAGAAGACAGAAAAAAATTCCAAAGGTCTATAATTGTTTATAATTAATATCCTCAGAGTTTAAAAAATGTGCATCTTTCTTCATATAGATATGCATGTATGGAGCAAGATAAGGTGCTCCCAGAAATGAGAAAAATGGCAACAGAAACAGAGAAGTCAAAAAAATTCAAACAAATGAAATCCCTCAGAAAATAGACCCCCCCCCGCACACACATCCACCACACCCACACCACATCCACCACACACTCCCACACCCCACACACACCATACACACCCCCATATGACACCACACACACCACACTCCCACATACCACACCACACACCACACCTATACCACACACCACACACACACCCCACTCCCACATACCACACCACACACCACACACACACCACACACACACCAAACACCCACACCACATACCACACCACACCACACACAACACACATTCCCACATACCACCCCCCCCCGATACACACCACACTACACTACACACATGCACGCATACTCGAGGGAAAGAGAAGAAACACTAATCTATTTAGAAGTATAAACATCCAGGCTGGCGAGAAAGGTGGCTCAGTGGGTGAAGTGTTTCCCTTAAAGTGTGAGGACCAGAGTTTGGGTACCCAACATCCATGTGAATGCCAGGCAGGAATGGTGGCCCATATGCTCCCTGTGCTTGGGAGGCAAAGATAGGATTTGTCCAGCAAACTATAAAGCTAGACTACACTGGTCAGAGAGGTCTAATTCACATGAGAGACCCTTCCTCAATATATAATAGAATCCAGGACCACCTGGTCAAGGGTAGCAGTATCCATAATGGGCTGGGCCCTTCCCCATCAATCATTAACTAAAAAAACGTCCTACAGGCTTGCCTACAGCCTGATTTTAGGGAGGCATTTTCTGTTCCTTCCTCTCAGATGACTCCAGTTTGTATCAACTTGACATAAAACTAGCTAGTACTTATGTGTCCACCCATCACTAATATATATGGATCAACACACCCACACATCATACACACACAAAAATAGAAGTAGCAACATCCATGTAATAAGAATTTTGCAGGGGCTGGAGAGATGGCTCAGCGGTTAAGAGCATTGCCTTGCTCTTCCAAAGGTCCTGAGTTCAATTCCCAGCAACCCACATGGTGGCTCACAACCATCTGTAATGAGGTTTGCTGCCCTCTTCTGGCCTTCCAGGCATACCCACAGAAAGAATATTGAATACATAATAAATAAATAGAATTTTGCAAAGAGGAAACAGAAAATATTGTTAAAGAAGAAACAACAACAAGAACAAAACTCAGAGTCAAGGCGAATAGGGAAGTCCAGGAGGACAAAGCATGGGAAAACAACAGGAAAACACCAAGTTGTAAGTCTTGAGACCTCTGTGGACAAGGACTGTATAAAAGGTTTCATAGAGACAAATAATACACTGAACTCAGTATGTTCAACCTAAACACGTCAAACACAGAAACCTCTTGCAGCTCTAGAATGATCTGAGACTCAACAATAAGGTAACCCAGTGGGAAAATGAGACAGCCATACAAGGAAGGAAATGTGGTGTATTACGAAGCTCATCAAGAGCGATGTTTTAAGATCGATAACTATACAAACAGTATGAAGTAGCTGAATCACAAATTATTTTGGAAGAATGGCAGAATGAAAGAATGAGGAAGAAAGACTGATGGCATCAGGATGGGTTGGAGAGCTAAGGTTTTATTATACAAATAGGAAGTCAGCTTAGAATAAAATCTAGAAGAATCAAATGAAAAACACTATAGAAATGTTACTTATATAGATTTACATAATGAATGGTCAAGTTAAAGGTTGTTTTGGGATAGGAGAAATTAAAGGTGGGATAGAGAAAGAACTATATTTTCTTTTAGTAAAATGTGTGCTGTCATATAAGTTAAAAAATTATGTACCTGTATTATTTGAAAAAGGATGAAATTTTAATGTCAAAACTCATGTCCTCAAAGACAGCCAGCAAGTGGTGCAACTGGTGTGTGCACACAGATGACCTAATTCCCATGATCTCGGTCAGTACCTAAACATACTCTATGGAGAACACAAACACAATGGCCTTATTTGGAATCTGGTGTGGGTGTTACCTCCACGAAGGTGGCATGAACAAACCTACTTATCTGCTAGCAGCTTCAGTGCCAAGTGAGGTAGAAGTAGACAGCAAGACAATTGCTGCAAAGACTGGCTGTTGAAAATGCCACCATTTAGAGTGAGGAGCACTGGGTTTCGGTGGAGTGGACAGTTTATGAAGTCACCTGTCCTCAGGGGATACAGGGACCTTGGCCATAGGACTCAATTGGCCAAGAATACAAAAACCTCCTCATGGAAAGTGGAGTCTAGAAGGATCTGTCATTTCTGAATTTCTGACTTGCTCTTGTTAGTGAGAAGGAGTTCTGGATCCTGCTCCTTGAAGAAAGGACTGAGTATAATGTGACCTCAGGCAGCTGTACCACCATCTTTTCACTTTGACCTGCTCCCTCACAGTTTCTCTTGTAGCCAGCATGCGTTCCCTACCAGATATCAAGACACAGATGTTATGGTGAAGACTGGATGTTTAGAGGCCAATGGACTACAAGAGAGCCAAGAACAGACCTATGCAATCGACTATCTATAAACTATTTTCTATATAGAAATCACTTCTATAAACAAACCATTTGGGAAGCTACCTTATTTAAAAGTAAAGTTGACACTTTACTTTTTGACAGGTCAAGGCACCCTAGATAGGAAGTGGTCTAAGACAGTAGGAAAATATGGACATTCGTGTCATGTCTAGAGTGTGTCCTGGTTCTGACATCTTGCTGTTGTGTAATGCTTTTGTTCTGAGACAGGGTCTCACTGTGTAGTGTAGGATGGCCTAGACTCACTATGTAGTCTAGCATGGCCTTGAACTCACAATTCTCCTGCCTCAGCCAGCGGAGTACTGGTAGGACAGACATGTGCCACCCTACCTAGCTGCTGTATGGCTCTGAGCAAATCCCTGTTTCAGTTTCCTTACTTGTCCCAAGTAGAGATAGGTATCTTTCTGTATTGTGGGATTAAAGAAATTAACTGTAAAGTACGTGGCATTAAAACAGTACAACTGTATCAGAGTTCGAGTGTCTTTCAGGACTGACTTCTGGTATTGCACCAGCACTGTTACTATAAACTCGTTACACATTTCCCATCATTTTTCATCTTTGTGATCTCATTCCACAGTTAGAACACCTTTATGGATTGAACGGAAGGTTCCAGCCCATAGCTTCTGCAAGTCGCCTTTTTTTTTTCCAGCTCTAAAAATGAAGGGATAATCTCCAGGGCTTTGGCTATAAGAACTACTTCTATTTTACAAGAAAGAAATTGGAGGCAAAGAGATGTTAACTGACTTGCCTTAGGTCACTGAGAATTACTAGCAGATTTAGGATTAAAACCCAGGTCTCCTCGATGATTTGCTTTACAAAGGTAAAATACTAATTTCCCTAGACTCCCTGTATCTAAATCTCTTCTTGGAATTGTCACTAGATACTTAGGGAGGTAATTCACTCAGGGATCATTTAGAATATTACTGACATATTCCACTGCCTGGAAGCTCCTACCTCATTACCAGGGAGGGAGTCAGTAGAGATACATGTCTTTTGGAAAAGCATTGACATGGACAATGGGAATATGAGCAATACAGAAGAGAATTACCTGAGCAAGCAGACCTGGTTGAATCTGAAGAGGCTGAGCTCCTGGAGCTTGAGTGACGATGGGAACAGCATTTTCCATCCGCACCGAGTAGCCGGCATGCTTGGAGGGAGAGGCCTGCAGGCCTGTTTAGTACATGGGTGAAGGACAGGAGGGAGGTGAATGACTGAAGGATGAAGAGACCCCTCCTAGCCACTGAGTTAGCTTTAATGCTCAGCTATGGGATACTTTCCTTTTAGCTGCTAACTTAAAGTAGTCTCCGACTCCCCACAAACACACCTCTCCAAAGTTAAACTATGTGAGGTCCAAAACAGGACAGATAAGACACAAGAGGAAAGGAACGGCTGAGTGTCACAGCAAAGAACATGGGGACAGCGGCGGGCTCTCTGAGGACTGTACAGATGGAACCCGAGCACCGGTGTACATGCTCACATGGCCGCTTTGCAGAACTCTGTCCTTGAGCTTTCCGTGTGAAGTATGATGAGGTACACAGTCATCTCTAACTGCTTAACGTCCACAGGAAAGGAGCTCTGGGATCGAGGCCAAAGGGGAGGAGGCCCAGGGAGGCACTTTTCAGACAAATTTCTATTCTCCACATGAAGTGGGTCTATGCTGGCTGTCAGAGACTGGCAATTTTCTACAGATAACGTTCAGAGAGCATTTCATGCAAGGAAAGCTGGAGCTGACATCAGCATAACAATGGAACCAGACAATGTGCCTCTTCACAGGCAGCTGGCGAGGGCCACAGCTTCTGGCAGGTGCTGAGAACAACAACAAATGGACTTGGTGCTGGAGCGCAAGGCGCATTGTTTCTAGGCTGGCAGCACTGGGAGAGCAGCCTCCACGGTCAGTGATACTAGCGTTCCTATGAATGGAAGCAGGAGGGCTTTCTCCCTGACAGTGGGCATTCCAGGAAGCAGTAGGGTAAGAACCCTAGAGGTGGTCCTGCAAGAACCAGGTTGGCCTTACCTTGGAAGCCAGGGGGACACACGATGAGAGCTTGCTGGAAGGGATCTGGCCGGGCACAAATCTGGGCTGTTCCCGTCTGCAGGGGCATGCTCCGCTGGGCCACTGCGGCCATGGATGCCGCTGAGGGCTGGTAGAGTGTAGATTGGTAGTTTAGTATGGAGACTTCGGGATTGGCTAAGGAAAGAGTGGCACTGGTGGAGGTGGGAGCCTAAAGGAATGATGGGGATTAAACAAAAATAAACAAAAATAAAAAATGAGGGAGGTGGTAGGTTGGGAGACACAAATCTAAATCAAATAAATGAATTTAAAGGAGAGCTAACACAAATCAAGAGCAAAAAAGCAAAAAGAAGGGCAGGACTCCAGCTGAATACCTCAGAGGAAGGCAGGCACCTGCATTCTCACATTTGTGAGACCCACACAGCTCACTACTGAAAAGCTAACTTAGTCTAGAAAACTTTTGCTTGAGGGTCTGGGGATGTAGGTCAGTTAGTAGAGTGCTAGTCTAGTATGCATGAAACCCTGGGTTCAATGCCTAGCACTGCATAAAAACAGCTATGGCAATCTTGTATCTATTTTGCAATCTCTGCACTCAAGAGGCTGAGGCAGAAGGATCAGAAGCTTAAGGTTATCTTAATACTACGGTACTGACTTTGAGTCTAGCTTGGGCTATATGAGCTCCTAATCACTCCTCCCCACCAGGGGAAAAAATAAACAATAAAAAAAAAACATTGTTTAATTAAAGTCTGCTTCATCCCAGAAGGCCAGGTTTGGGTTGAGAGCCTTTGTGTTCCTTGGATTCTAAAGTGGAATATGATATAGGGAGGGTGGGAAAAGCTGAGCCTGTCTTTCTTCTCCTTGTCCCAGCGAGACTCCACCTTTGCTCATCCTCTCCTCCCCTTGGATCCAGGTAGTCTATACTTGGGAGGACAAACAGGGTCCTGGATAAACAGGTCTCAGGAAAGAAGCCCATGCACCAGAAGGGAAGCCCGGGCAGAGTCCTGGAAGGAGATTCTTGCTCGTACAGTGCTGCCTGCAGCTACCCTTGGCCTGCTGTAGGATACAGCTACTGTAGAAGCAGCATATGGCAAACATCTGGATCTATCTTTGGAAACAGAACTTCCAACAGAAACAAAGCTGTAGAAGGAAAGCAAACTCTGTTGGGAATGCTTATATTCTCTCCTTAGCAAAGAGAGGCAGAGGTTAGCAATGGCTTCAGACTGAACATGGTCTAGGAGCTGTGCTGTAGAAGCGAGGTTCTAAACCTGTGAGTCACGATCCCTTTGGGGGTCACATATCAGATAGCCTGCATATCAGATATTTATATTGCAATTCCTAACACTAGCAAAATTACAGTTATGAAGTAGCAACAAAATAATTTTATGGTTGGGAGTTCCTGTTACAACATGAGGAACTGTATTAAAGGGTCAAAGCATTAGGAAGGTTGAAAACCACTACTCTAGAGATTGTAAGAGCTATGGGATAAGGAGGAGGTGGACTGTGAGTAAATACTGGACACACGTGTAAAGAGAATTTCAAGAGAAGGTCAAATTTCATAAAAAGGTCAAAGTCTTGTTTTCCTTTTTTTATTTTGTGGTGCTGGGGAAATCAAACAAACCCAGAGCCCTGACTGCTCTAGGCAAGTCTACTGCCGAGCTACATCTTTAGCCCTGCACAATTTGTTATGCTTAAATTCTGTGCTGAATTTTAGTACAAGATAATAAATTTATTTGAAAATGATTACAAACTCCTATGATACACTTAATTAGATCTTGAGTTGCATATTTTAACTGTGTATGCAGGTTCAGCATTCCACGCCATGCCTCCTGGAAGTATCGGGGGGACACATGTGCACACGTAAGAGCCAGTTTCTAAGTACTGATGACATAACACTCATCTCCAGTCTTCCCCACACCATTATTTTCCCTGGCTGCTCAGGCCCTGAAGGTCCCCTGCTTGAGGCCATGGCACTAATGTCTCCCCATTTGACTGCATTGTCCCAGCCTCCAATCAGTCACTGTTCTGATGCCTCTGCTTTCCAAATATCCCTAGGGCCACTGGCTTTGCTCATTTGTTCTCCGGTGCCCACCTCGGACCTTTAAGTGCCTGATTAGTGACAGCTTGCCCTCTACTTCCCTTTTAATTCTTGGGCACAGGATCATTCTCTCTCTTTTAATTTTAAAAATTGTATGGGTGTGTTGCACACACACACACACACATATATATATGTGTGTACCATGTGTGTGCCTAGTGTCCACAGAGCCAGAAAAGGGCACTGTGGATCCTGAAACTGGAGTTACAGATGATTATGAGATACAATGTAGGTCTAGGAATTGAACCCAGGTCATCTGAAAGAGGCCATCTCTCTAGCCTTGGATCATTCTCTCTTAAAGACCACTTTGCACATCAGCACCCTGTTCTGCACTTAATCATTTGCTCATAAATTCCAGCAGTGGCCTCATGAATGTGGTGTACGCATCTTGGCTCAGTACTTTTTCCTTTCTATAGACCCTCAGTTATCTTCCTTGATAAATGTCATCTACCCTTTTCTTTGGGACAGATTAATCTACTTGCTGTTTTCTTAGCTTTCTATGAGCATAGGCTATTCATCTCATAGGAATCCTCTGAAAAAACTCAGAGAGAACTCTTAGCCTTTGTGCTGTAGGGCCAGCCTGGGTATGAGGGCTTCAAATTGGAGCCTTCCCTGATGGTGCACGTGTACAAATCTGTGGTTGTGTGGCTCAACTTCCGCCACAATGTGCTGGGCAGTGTAGTCAGCATCCTGACAGATGCCTACTTGGGGGAAGGGCCTGGGCTCTACTGTGGTCCTCTGCTTGCCTGCCTTACATGGCCTTCATGTGTGTAGCCTGGATCTGGACCTCTTTTAGCTCAAGTTTCACCATGGAGATGATGAGCTCTTTGTAGACTCAAGGAAAGAAAAGTGAAACGCAGATCCTGACAGGACCACCAGTCCCCAGTGTGAGCAGCAGCAGCTGACAGTTTCCCTCAGTTTCCAATGCTGCTATGGATCAGCTGGTGGAAGTGTGTGTGAAGGTGAGAGAGACTTTTACTCTGTCCTCCGAGGTTCTGACAGAGCGATCGCACCTGTCTGTGAGAGGCAGAGAGGACTGCTGAGAGCTATCCTGGCTAACAAAGGCAAATGAGAAGACAAAGCAAGTTCACTGGCAACCTATGTTGCAAAGATGGGCCAAGTGATTCTAGATGTTTAAACATCTTACAGTTTGACATCTGTAAGACCAGGATGTGAGTCTAACCTGTAAGCCCAGTTGAAATTCCTGGGAGAAGGATATGCCCTAAAATGAGATACCTTGGAAAAGTTAGTAAAGTGGCTGAGCCTATGGATTAAGCCAAGAACACCCAGGGGGAGGTCTTTCCCTTCAATATGTTACTAACAGTTTTGTTTTATGTTTTTTTGAGACAAGGTTTCTCTGTATATCCCTAGCTGTCCTGGAACTTGCTCTGTAGACCAGGTTGGCCTCAAACTCAGAGATCCGCCTGTTTCTGCATCCTGAGTACACCATCACCACCCGGCTACTAACAGTTTTTCAATGTACATAAAAATTATGGCATACTGAGCACTTGGAAAAGATCCTATATATCTGCTGGATATATGTTAAGAGCAACACAGAACTAGTTCCATGTCCTTCCACTAAAACAGAACTGTAGATGTATTTTCTTGCTTCTAAACTTCTGAATGTTTAGAATGAGTAGAAAAACTCCAAGGAGCTCAGAGAAGGAACAAAGCACTGGGTCACTAATGAAAAAAAGAAGTCTTGTTGGACTTAGAGAGCGATACCATCTAGAAAAGTATCTGGGGACCTCCACAGGATTCATCAGCGCATGTGTTTCAAGAGTGCAGACCCTGATACAGACTGCTGGCGTCAAAAGGCCAAACCTATCTCATATGTACCAGCAGGCTGCCTTAGGAAGAGGACTAATTGCCTTGTGCCTCCGTTTCTGCCTCTAAACTGCCAATGATAATACCTATTCCACATGAATGCTGGGAAGACTGAATGATGCCATGCTGAAGAAAGTCCGACACAATAAATGCTTACTGTCAGTAACGTTATCAGGGGAGGGAAAGCATGCCTTAGAGCTTAAATCTGGGTTATAATGGGAAGAACTTTCTTTTCTGACAACAATTCAAAGCTCAGATGATGGAGAGTTTGTTCTCAGGATCATGCTTTTGTAGGGCAGCATTTCATTTCCCCAGGGCTCAAGCCACCACCATTACACTAAGTTAACGGCCTTTTCTGCTTTAGTCCAACCTGGCCAGCTTTGTGGGTCTCAGAGCCATGGAAAACAGAGGTGTTCTTATTTGGGACCTGCCTTTGTGTTTTTCAGTTTTGGTGATATTCTTTGGAATGGGTATGGGTGTCCTAGCACAGGAAACATGGAGGTGACCTTTTCTGATATGGTCAGGGATCTCCAGTCTGAAGCCTATGAATATACCCATGGAAAGGCTGGTGGGGCAGGGGGATTCACATGACCCCTGACACATGATCAGAGGGGTTCCCTTTCCCGTGAGCCTTCTTATATCCTTTGGTAATGGAAGGAAGAGACATATGGGGACAGAGGATTTGAGGTTAGGGAGTTAGAATCAAGAGTCTACTAAGGAGACTTATGGGAAAAGCAAGCCTCAGGGTAATGAAGAAAACCTCAGTGACCGCTGGTTGAGAAGCCCTAGATGCAAAAAAGCCTTAACCTCAAGGCTGGCAGGAAAATGAGCTCTTCACTCTAAAGACAGCACCAAAAACACTGACGGCCTCCAGGGGGCAGCATATTCCAGACGGCGCTGAGTCTGAGCAGAGGAAGTGATAGAAACTGGAAGTCAAGCTAAGAGGAACAGCACGGTGAAAGGGAACAGGGCTGATCAGGGGTCAGGGACTCATCAGTGACAGGACCTGCCAACTAAAAGTAGACAAACAGGTGGTGGCATTCACACATTAGCTTTACGTATTTATTTCTCTTCTCTGAAGGTGTGTATGTGCTTGTGCACAAGAGACAACAGCACACAGGAACACCATCATCATTACAGGTTGATACTAAGACTGCAATGTCTGAGAATACTTCTTTGGGGAACTCATGAGATTGGAAGATGGGAGTAACAGTTCGAGTCTCCGATTCTGGAGGCGGGTGAATTAGGGTGGGGAGATTCTTCATTCGGTGCCTATTTCCTGAGCCTCATCTGTATTTCAAACATTCTATGTTGCTGAGTCTTCCAACCTATAGAAGGTTGGGGATCTGTGTGAAGGAAACGTCAACTTCCTGTATCCCTTGGGTAATGCTAGGATTCTGGTGACAGACCCAAGAGCTGGCTTTTCTATGGCTTAGAGAATGGACAGGTTTTACTGCTGCTGAATAAAGACCATATGGACACAGGGGTGCGGGGAGGGACTCATGCTGGTGCTAGAACTTTTTAGCAGGCTCCATTTCCACCTCAGCTCAGAGGAAAATGGGAAGAGGTACCATCTCAGGAAGCAGGAGTCAGAACAGAGAGCCCTGTGACCTCTTAAAAAACTAACCAAGGAAGCAAGTACTTCAGCTTAGAGACCTTAAAGGATAACACTGGGAAAGCTGCCTGGGTCTGGTAGGGAAAACTGAGTCCTAATGCCCACAGTGACAGCCCTGCCCACCTTCCCCTGGTGTCTGCCACTCACCTGGTTGTGGACAGTGGTCAGCTGGTTGTTAAAGGTCATGGTCAAGTTGGTGGATGTGCTGGGGGCCACGTGCGTGATGAATGGTGTTTTGCTCTGGTTCACTGTGTCATACATATTCACCCGGCGCTTGCAAATCTCCATGTTTTGGAAACAAGATTTGACACTGTTTATGCAAAAGGTAGAGGCAGAGACACGGGACAAGAAAGAGGGTGAGATGGGGTAAATTGAGGGAAAGGAGAGAAAACAGTGAGAAAAGGAGAGAATGGTTAATCCAGCAAAACAAAGCAACACTGTAGCTTTCTTTGGTTTCAAAATCCTGGCCTTCTCAATGTCTGCCCATGGAACTGTCAGCACTGTGTGAGCGAAGTCCCCACTGTCTTGTTGCCCTTCCCCGATCCTGCATGGGCAGGTTCCCCATATCACAGACATGCTGCATTTTATCTTCCTCCGTTACTTTTCCACCTCCAACTGCACTGCTCATCCTCAGTGTCGTTCTCATTCAACAAGATGACTCTCCAACCAAGGATATCAAGGAGCTGCTACAACCTACTTCCACTTTCCTTAGAGCCAACTTGTCTACCCCCAAATCATGCCCTCCCCCCCCATTCTAGCGACCCTGGGCTACTAGCACCATCTAGAGGTCAGCCAAGTAATTCTCCCACCCAGGGTCATGAATTTAGGCAGCTGGTTGGCTTCACTGGAACCTGCCAAGCAATGAATATATAATGATTACTAATTTTCACTGAGAGCAGTGGTATGTGTTGCAATCTCCATTTCAGTCTTACACCACCCACAAGACAGAATTATGATCATTGTCTCAATTTTATAAGTAAAGCCATATGTTTAGGACAGATAATTTGCCTGAAAGAGAATTACTAACTAGCAATTCACTCCTTCCTCCACCTCTCCCTCACATACACATTCCTAACTTCCTTAATCCTTCCTTTCGTCTCTGTGTGTAATTCTTGTCTAGTTTCATGAAGTAGAACTCTTTCCCCCTTTTCTTCCTTCATTGTCTTGGTGAATCAAAACCAAACCCCTAACTACAAAGTATTAAAGCAGTGTAGGCACAAGTGTAAAGGCCGCTGGTGGCCTTGGCCCTTCTGGCTCCTGAACACCCACTGTGTCCTGCTCCATACTCTGCTCCTAACACACTGCCTCTTCTGTTAGCTTCACTTTCCTCAAGCGCTAATGCTCAGGATAAAGCTGCATTTAATCTACAATTTAAAATGTCTATTGCAATAACTGAATATAAACTACAGGTCTGTTCTATTTTGGATTAAACAGGTATTTGTAGGCTACCCCAGAATATGCTTTTTAAGAAAGATACCTTCCAAATTTCAGAAACTGAACATGCACATGACCTAGAGATTGCTACTTCTTTCTAAGTTAATGACTATCACACTGGCTGCTCGATACACAATGCATAGTAAACAAACAAACCGAAGGTCCTAGAGAGAAGAGAAACCATATTCACTGGTAAACAACGCCATGCCCACCACAGCCTCTGGTGCGCACCTCGAGTACTGCTGAGCGCTTTCATCCTGAGCAAAGACAATGAAATCATGCTGCATGCATTCTTTTTGGAACACATTTAAAGCACTCAGTGATTTTGTGACGGCTCAAGGCTTGTCTCCAGACTAGAGTTTCCCCGCTGCAATGGGTTGATCTTGACTGTTAGGATGAGACGAGTACTTCTACTTTGGGTTAGTTTACAAGAAGACTGGCTTTAACCATGCGCAAACTAGAACCTGGCTGGAGAGAGACGAGTGCTTTCACTTTCACCTGCAAAACCATATGTTAGAGGAGCTTAGGCCCAGCCCCAAGGGTCCACAGGCCTGCAAGCTTGTTCTTCATGGTCTTCTAAGAATCCACAAAGAGTCAACCCACTCTCACATAGGCCCAGGGATGGCCTGTCTTTCTTTTTCAGGCTGACCTTCCAAGTTCTAAATTGTCAAGGCTCCTTAGTGAAACTCTATGGATGCTTCCTTACTGAACACAAAGAATACGGACCTGCTCATCTAAGCCCCAAGTTTTTTGGGGTGACTGTTTCACTGGCTTAAGATGGCCAATAGGAGCTCTCTGAGGCATCCACCTCCCTGATCCCCCACTTCACTGTTTCTCCATCATTTAGCTTTATTCCTAAAGATAGAGCGCTGGCTTTGTGGGATAGACTGAGACTTCCTTAACTGCCTCCTGCGATTGAGAAATGGCACAGTTGTTAAAATTTGGAAGGGCTGGGTGCAGGGTCCTTCTTCACACTAGAACTTGGCTGTTCCAAGCGTGCCCTGAATTAGAGATATCATCTGGGTCTTGCAGTGCAAGTTGACTTCCTTCACTGACTGCTATGGAAAAGAACTGAGACAGAAGACACACTTGAGGAGGCTGCAGCCCACTTGTCAGGCTAGGAAGGGTTGGGTCCAGCCTGGAGACTCAGTCCACTCTAATTTTGGTCACAGTACTGCTGCCTATGCTCTGAGAACATCTGTCTCCACGCTCTTCTCTCAGCAGTCATCGGGACCTGTGGGAACCACCGCTTTCGGGAGCACACTACTTTCCCAGCAGAAATGCAAGGATGGGAATCTATGCTTTCATGTCCCAGGTACCTCAGGGTTCAGGCTGAGGTGAGATAACCCATTTCCCATCCACAAAAGACCTCCTTCCTCTCTTTCTCATTCACAGAGACTGAGCCACCAGAGTGGTCTCCACTCCAAGCTATTTTCTGACCACCCAGGAATACTTCAGTAGCCACACAGATGACCTGTCAAACACCTACACTTCCTGCCTCAGGACCTTGTTTTCAACCTCACCACTCCCTCTTTGGGCCCTCAGACTGGACTATTAAGTCTCAAGAGAAAGCATCCTGTTTCCTTGACCTCATTCTCCACCCATCTGCTGCACTTAACTATAACTATTATCAGAACTATCTTCAGAGTTGACCAGAGGGCACAATTCATTGGAATCTAATGAATTTCCTTCCCCTCAGGTGAACCTTCCACAGTTTCCATTTGGGATTATAATTACTATATCACCAGCATCATCAACTTCCTTATCCGTTTGTCTTTTTCTCTTAACAGCCTGGCAGCAGCCCAACTGGACAAACTGAACTGTTTCCTCTACGCCTTTGAGTAGGATGGTCACTTATAACATCAGTTCATGCTCAGACTCAAATGCTCAAAGCTCTTCCTACCTCCTTCCCTCTTCCTCAGCCTTCCAAGTGCTGAGATTACAGATGTATTCCACCACACCCAGCTTCCTCCTGTATTTCTCTGGTTAGTTTGCTGTCACCTTCTGCTCCAGTTACCTACTCTCTGTTTCTCTCCTCTCTTCCTTCCCCTCTTTCATAATTTCTTTCTTAACATTCTATTCTGCATATGTATGTATGAGCATGTGTATGTTTGTATATGTGTGTATATATGAAGGCCAGACGTTGACACAGTATCTTCTTTTTTTAATTCTTAAAAATATTTATCTACTTTTATTTATATGTATGTGTGTGTGCATGCATAATTTATGTGCATTGTGTGTGCCCGAAGAGGCCACAGGGCATTGGATCCCCTGGAGCTGGAGTTACAGATCATTATAGATCTGATGTGGATTTTGGGAGCTCAGCCCAGGTCCTCTGCAAGAGAAGTAAGTGCTCTTAATTGTTGAACCACCTCTCTAGCCCCCAAGTGTCTTTTTTTTTTTAATTAAAATTTTTTATGCGTATAGGTGTTTTGCTATGTGTTTGTCTGGTGCCCGGGGAGGCCAGAAGCAAGCACTGGATCTCTTGAGACAAAAGTTATAGATAGTTCTGAGTTACCATGTGGGTGCAGGGACTTGAACCCAGGTTGTCTAAAAAGCAGAAGGGCTCTTAACTACTGCGCCACCTCTCTAGCTCCCCTGAATGCCTTTCTTGACCACTCTTCAAGTAGTCTAGCTAACCAGCTTGCCCCCAGGATCCTCTATCTTCACCTCTTGAGCTCTGGGATTATAGGCAGACCGCCTGGTTCCCAACCCCAGTGCTCACATCTGTGTGGCTAATGCTTTATCCCGAGCCACCGCTCCAGCCACAATCATCACAATGTTCTCCGATGGTAAAGCCTTCACTCCTCTTGTTCTTAACAGGTGGCCTCATCATCTATTTCAGAGACAAAAACTGTCTGACAGGAACTCCCTCAACTTTCCTCTGCTATCCAGTGAACCTTGCAGACATCCGTATCTTCTCCCAGCATCTTTTAGTGGCAGGGCCCACCTCTCCCCCAGCTTAAACACGGCTCAGAAGAAACCGACCACAGTTATCTTTCCCTTGAACCTCTCGCTTGCTACCAGGCTCTTCCCATTAGTCTTTGCTCAAGTTTCCCCGCTCTTCAGAAGCTTTCCTCTTGTCCCTCCGACACTCCTCTGCGTCCTCCCTCCTGTTCCACAGCCTCACTTTCTGTAAGGCGGCCACCTACTACTCTGCTTACACTTATCTTCAATCTGCTCAACAAGTTTCTGCTTGAAAACGGCTGTCACTAAGTTACCAGCACCCTCCCCGTTGTAAGATATTACAGACATTATTTTTTTTTCTAGATTACTGATATGTTAGCAGTTAGGTCTGTATTCAACACAAATCTAACCAGCCATTTCATCTGCTTCTAAGTCTTTTAATGAGTTGCATTGTGCTTTTGATAATAAAAGACAAAATCCTCCTTTTGGCATGGCTTTCTCAAGCTTAGTTCCGTGGCCTCGGCATGTCACCCAGGGTCCCTATGCCCAGTGTTTAGTCATGCTGGAGAGTTCACACAGGCAATGCCCTGACTGCTCACTTCCATCTTCTTCCTCGCCCTTCAGAGGTTACACCCGTGGGTCTTCTGGCCTGCTGAGTCAGCTCCTTGTTACACTGCCTCATCGCACTCCTTCCTTCCTTGGTAACAGCCATTGTTTTATACCGTCTTCTCTGAAGACCATAGCTCAGTGTACCCCAGCACCTGCTAACAACCCATAGCAAGCAAGGAAATGGACAAATCCAAACAGACTAGACCAGGTCACTCCAGGACAGCTTTGGGACTAACTTTGGTACTGATGCTAGACTGCTTCAGGGCACTGTTGTTTTGTGTACTTCTTCCTTTGTGCACTGATACCCAAGTTCATCTGGTCCCAAGGTCTCCCATGTTCCCTCCTTTTGCTACAACTGCAATCTTAGGTCCAATATAGCCCTTATAAGTTTTCTAAGTGCTTTCTGGGAACACGGATCCCCAGCTTTGCTTATGTGATGGATCATAATTGCTTTCAACTGCAACTGTACTGCACTGCAACAGCAGAAACCAGAGGGCCAGAAAGCCTGAAGTCTTTACTATCTGGGCCTTTAGAGTGCTGCCCCGGTACAAAGGACCAAGCGGGACACTCACTGTGTACTATGGGGAAAGTCGAGCAGGTGTGTCATTGTGACAAAGGGGTGGTTCAGAGTTTCGATGGGAGTGATCCTCTTATCAGCATCTATGGTCAGCATCTTCTTTAATAGGTCAATGAATTCCCGTCGGTCTGCCTTCTCTACCAACATGTCACTCCCTTCCAAATCTGTTGTCATGTTCACCTGGAAGCAAACAAGGACAGGGGCGTAAGAGGCAGAGTATACCCTATAACCTCCTTCGATCTCAAGCCCATCTCAGCTGCCAGAAGGCAGACGGCCCCCAGTGGAAGCCATGGTCTTGTGTGCTGCCACTGTCTGTAGGTCATGGTTTCTTATGCTGTAAGAACAGAATGGCCGAGGCAGTCAGGCACCAGGTAGCGGTGAGGGCAGAAAGACGCTACCATGGTTGATACTTGTAAATATATCCCAGTGATAAGGCACAAAACTGCTCCTGTTTTAACTGGCCAAGAAAAATGCAGCTTTTGTCACACCTTATTAAAAATAACCACAGGATGAAAGGTTCTGGAGACTGATTGCATAACAAATACTCCTGAACTTTATGTTTAAAAAAGGCTAAGATGAGAAACTTTATGCTGTATGTTTTACTACAATCAAATAATGACAAAGAAATACACACACACACCCCTACCTCAGAATTTCTAAGATATAGCATAGAAGATAGAAAAAAGTTCATCCAATCGTGGAGGGAGAAAGAGCCTGGGTTCCCTCTTCCTTCACCTTCATGACATCTCCCTTCTCATAGCCCCTGAATTGGAACCAGAAAGATTTTAGTTTCTGTGTCCCCTGCAGTCACTTCCGGCCAAGGAGGTGTACCTGGACACAGGACTATTCTCCCAATGCCAGGTCTCTACTAGTATGGCCTTTAAAAGGCTTGCTTCGTGGTGCTTTCTATTTTTTTTTCAAGAGGGGCTCTGGGAAGCAATTCCAGTTTTCGCAGGCCATTTAAGCTACTAATCAACTGACAAGGGCACTTTCCTCGGAAGCAGAGGCCCTGGCTACACTCATCGTTGCCAAGAGGTGCACTACGACTTCATTTCTCAGTATCTGAACACAAAACTCATTCTGGGCTGCTCTGAGTTTGGACTAGTCTCTAACTAAAAATACCCAGTGATCTGGAATTATCTCTGACACAAAGGTAAGAAAAAGCCTCTGCTCATGAGCTGACAGTGACTGAGTGTAGTGGTCTGAATTGGATTCCCCTAAAAGCTTAAATTCAAGTCCTGATCTGTGGAAGCTATAAATGTGACCCTGTTTGGAAATAGGGTCTTTGCAGATATAATCAAGTTAAGATGAGGCCATATTGGATTAGGATGGTCCTAAATCCAATAACCAGTGCTTTTATAGGAGAAGAGATCTGACACTGAGACCAGAGATGACACAGGGATAAGAGCCGGTGGAGGGTAAGGGTTAGAGTGATGCAGTTGCAGGTAAGGAATGCCAAGGCTGCTAGGAGCCACGAGCAGCCAGGCATATGAGTGGGGTTCCCTAGTGCCTTCAAAAGGACTGTGGTTCTGAGGACACTGACACCATACACTTTTAGCCTCCAGAACTATGAGAGAATACATGGGTGTTGTCTTAAGCCCTCCAATTCACTCTATCTTGTTATAGAGGCCCTATAAACTGACACACTGAACCAAGGGCATCAACTCTAACACTGCAATGGGCAGGACTTCTCAGCTCGGCAGTGAATGCCTGCCTAGCACATGCAGGCCATGGGTTCAGGCCCTTTTAGCACCACATTAGTAAGGCTGGCCATTACAATGGAGCTATCCTTTCTTCTTTCCTTCCTTTCTAATTTTTTTCCCATGTATTTTACATATCGACCACAGTTTCCTCTCTCTCCTCTCCTTCTGTTCCCTTCTAAGCTGCCCATAGCCCATCTACTCCTTCTCCACTCCATTCAGAAAGAGGCAGGCCTCTCATGGGAATCAGCAAAGTAGGGCACATCCAGCTGAAACAGGACCAAACTCCTCCCCCTGCATCAAGGTTGGGCAAGAAAATCCACCATGGGGACTGGGTTCCCAAACACCAGGTCAAGCACCAGGGACGGATCCCACTGCTAGGAACTTCACAAACAGACCAAGCTACACATAAGTAGAGAGCCTAGGTCAGTCCCATGCAGGTCCAGAGTTGGTGAGCTCCTACAAACTCAGGTTAGCAGTCTCTGTGGACTCCTTTGTCTTGACCTTGACCTCTGCCCCATACCCCTGAGTCCTTCCCCTACCAACCTGGCTTGTATAACCCATCCTCCCTTTCTTCACGAGGACTCCTGAGCTCAGTTTTTTACTAACTCTGGCATATATTGTTCAAAAGTAAAGTCAATGAGGTAGGATAGTGGGGGCTTCTACTCTATCCTGCTGTTGAATAAATCTCATTGCTGGTGGGTTTTTATTGATTGACTGATTTTGGTTTTTTGAGGTGGGTTTCTCTGTAGTTTTGGAGCCTGTCCTAGAACTAGCTCTTGTAGCCTCAAACTCACAGAGACCCACCTGCCTCTGCCTCCCTAGTGCTGGGATTAAAGGCATGCGCCACCACCACCCAGCTATTTTTTGTTTTTTAAGACAGGGTCTTTCTACTTAGCTCTAGCTGTCTTGAACTCACCACGTAGCCTCAGACTCACAGAGACCGAGTTCTGGGAGTAAGATAGCACCAAGCCCTGCCCTGAAGGCGTCTATTTTAAAGTGCTGTACCGCACACACATCCACAGAGCTTACCTGGGCCATATCATCCAAACAGTTAAAAATGTACTTTCTTGCTTCTTTTGACTTAATCCCCGTCTCAGCTTCATGGTCATCTGGTGTCTGTTTAGAAAAGGAAAACCTGGTAAGACAGCATCTCTTAGTCACTACATCTCAAGTGCTCGAGCTCCTGCTTCGCCCCAGGGTCTTTTCCTCACCTTGTAGGGAAGGAGACTTGGGCTCCGTTCTACCCGTCCACACTACATCTCATCTTCCTTCCTACTCTGATACAGCTACTAAAGATTCTAAACAGAGCAGGAAAGCAACACTCTCATGCCCCTGCAGCTTTCTGTAAGCTGAAGGTAAGATTTCACTGTGGAAGACCAGCGTCCTTCCTGACATGCTTTAAATTTTTATTTTATTTAACACTCCCTTATGCCTACAGCTCCTAGATGTTTCAAGGCACGTTAACTTACTAAATGCTCCTCATAACCATGACCATTAGGACGACTGCTCTCCCCTTCTACGATATATGGGAACACAAGAATACATAGCTCCGGGACCTATCAGAGCCCCTGGCCAACAAGTGGCACCTGTTTGCAGAGCCTGTGCTCTGTGCTGCTCCCCCAAAGACCCCCAATACACTATTGGCTGGGAACCCACCGTGGCGACTTGGCATGGGATTTGGACTCATTCATGGATCTAAGGTAATTTATTTTGGCTTTAAGCACACTTAAAGCAGCCCAATCCCTAAGAGCAGCTGAACTCAAAGAACGAGTTTCCTGGTAAACACAGAAGTAGTCATCTCCTACGCCTAACCTGGGCTCTTCTTCTGTCTACAGACTTTTTCTTACTGGACCTGACCTTGACAACTTACTGCCATAATTATTGAATGTCAGGAGATCTGTTCATAGCCTAGCACCTGCTTAACTTCCAAATCCCAACTTTTTGAAAGTATTATCTTTAAACTTTATTAGGATTTGGTTGGATCCTGTCAAAACCAAACCAAACCAAACCCACTAAAATTAAACCTACTGCAAAAAAATGAACATACAACATACTTAAGGTCTTTTTTACTTTTTCCTTCCCAGGAAAAGTATGTTAATTTTAATTATGAGACACAGGTTAAAGTAAATGCAAAATATGTTTCCATTAAGGTAAAATCACCAAGAGTTCATGGTGTCCAGCAGGGCCTGGATGAATCAGATCAGCCCTCATCCCAAGGGCTTGTAACATTTGCATTGCTTAGGCTGCTTTCATTGCCTGGGCAATGTCCACCAGTCTATACTAGGAAATTCCCTCTGTACCCTACAGGGCCCAGTACAAATATTCTTCCTCAACTTGGCCCCTGGCCTAGCTTTTTCTTGGCTCACTTGGATCACTTGTGTTTCTCACATTCTTTCCTCCCAGGAGGAAGATACTCCATTTGGTAGCCCAGAGCTTGGGGCATTAGTCCTATACCCCCATGGACAGTGAGCTCCCTAAAGGTGAGGTATGGCAGCTTCATCTAGCTAGCACAAATTAGTCACCAGGGATCAAGTCCTATAAATCCAACAGTCTTTCCAGGGGATACAGCCTCTCAGGCAGCAGGAGGCCAAAGGAACAGGTCTTTCAAACATTCAGATCCAGCCACACCTTGCATTCACAACTATATTCTACATTCCCATCTTGCTGGTCAAATTAAAGCTATCAATTTGAAAATATCAAAAGCTCATTTTTGTCTTTCCTTCTTTCTTCACTATTGGGCCACCAGAGTGGAATGGAGGGGTGTTTTTCCTACCTTTAGCCTCCATAAAGGATATGGAGAGTCGGTGTCACGGTTGAAAAACCTAGTTGTCTTTGTCCCTGCACTTAATAAATATTCCGCTGGCAAACCCTGTGTTTGTGAAATATACCGAATCTGCAAGAAAAAATGAGAAAGAGGTCGGGGCTTTTCCTGTCACTGTACATATGGTATACTGATGACTCTAGCGGCTTTGAGAAAAAATGGAATTATTAGTTTTAGAGGAAAAAAAAAGGAGCAAAGAAACACACACACACACACATACACAGGGTGGAGAGATGAGATAAGAAAACAAAGGAGCAAAGAAACAGACAGACAGACACGCGCGCGCGCACACACACACACACACACACACACACACACACACACAGTGGGGAGATAAGAGGAAGCCAGGCAAGAGAGACAGTAAATCAGCCCTTAAGAATATCAGAGGCCAGGGTCTAAGCGAAATGGTAATCTAGGATTGTCTGGATGGAGAATGAAGCCACACAGTGAATTCTTGTGTCACCCAGACCTACCTGATCATATTCGGAAGCTCCTGGATATAACGGCCAGCCCAGGAACAGCTCAGCAATGACACAACCAAGGGACCACATGTCAATAGCCTCACAGAATGGCAAACCAAGGATGATCTCAGGGGCCCTGGAGAGGAACAATGGGAAGAACCATTGGTGCTCTAGCTCTCTCCTGGGGAACACCATGAATGCCTGTGTGGTCTGTGGTCTTTGAGAGAGGCCTGCATTGCAATGATGTCTCCAACCTTGCCTTTATCATCTAGTTAGAAGAGGACATAGTTAGCCTGGCAGTGCAGAGTAGGGGCAGGTGGGTGACGCATGTCTGTGGGCGTCACACCATCACACTCTGGCCACAAGCTCATGAACTGATAACAACAGCGGAAGCAGTAGGGAGTTAGTTTTTGTAGCTGAACACCTGGAATTCTTTATAAAGAATGCCTGGTTTTTAAAAAGGAATTCTGAAACAGTCTACTTTCAGGCATACATAAAAATAGCTGCCCCCACTGAAAATAAGGCAGTTAAGGCCAATAACCATTCTTCATGGTCTTTGTTTCAGGCATCTGTGTCACAGTTCCTCAAAGGAACACTGCTATTACTCTTCCCACCAGTTTCTAAGTGGCTAATCTCCATGAAAGTTCTTCAATGTTACAACTTTTGAACCCCATTCATGAATAGACCATCTTGAGAGTCAACCAGAATTCCATTATAAACCCACCAAACAGATCACTTCTGACTGTAGGACCTAATGTCCCTGCAAATGACAGACAAGGTCACATGCTAGAAATTTCAAAGAAATTTTAAAGAGGAAAGTGCACATGTATTTGGTATCCAAAACCAGACTACAAAATATACCTTCTTTTAAGTTTTATTAATGTACATGTGTGTGTGTATTTGTTTGAGGGACAAGAGGACACTAGGTCCCTTGGAGCTGGAGTTAGAGGCAGTTGTGAGTTACTCAACATGGATTCTGGGAACCAAACTTGGGTCTTCTGAAAGTGCACCAGCTATGTCTCCAGCACCTATACCTTCTGTCTTAAGCACCTGTCCTGACTAGGTAATACTATGCTTTGGTACGAGACAGGCTCAGGGTTTGAGGGGTAACTACAGTTGAGCTGCTTCGAATGTGCTCAGTGCATTGTGTTGATAATGAAATGCATTAGCTTAACCTGCTTCCTTTAGGAGGTTCCATGCCACAGAGCCGGGTCAGCAGCACTACTGTGCCACACTTTAGAAGCTGGGGTGTGGGGTGGGAGTGAAGAGCCAAGGGTCTTTCTGCAAGTTTGGTCGCTTTTCTCCTTGCTGGGATAAAGGAAAGGAAAGGAAACCACTTCTATCAGCCTCACATCTTCTCCTTCTAGCGCAATACTTTTTGGTTATAAAACAGCCATCGTCACCTCTTTTTAGATTTGCCCTTATTGCTACCATGTGTGTGTATATGGAGGCCAGAGGACAACCTTGGGTTTCAGTCCTTAGGAGCTACCCAGGCTGTCTCACTGGCCTGGAACTTACCAAAAAGTCTAGGCTGGCTGGGAAACAAGCCCTAGGGAAGCTGCCTGTCTCTGTCTTCCTAGTGATGGATGATGGAGGAAGGTCATTGGCTAATAAAGGAACTGCCTTGGCCCATTTTATTGGTTAGGATGTAGGTAGGTGGAGTAAACAGAACAGAATGCCAGGAGGAAGAGGAAGTGAGCTCAGACTCCACAGCTCTCCTCTCGGGAGCAGACGCCTGAGAGAGACGCCATGCCCTACTCCAGGGCAGACACACGCCATGAAGCAAGCCGCCAGGTTAGACATGCTGAACCTTTCCCGGTAAGACCGGCGCTCACAGATTATTAGAGATGGGTTGATCAGGATAACAGAATTAGCCAGTAAGGGCTAGGGCTAAAGGGCCAAGCAGTGTTTAAAAGAATACAGTTTCCGTGTAATTATTTTGGGTAAAGCTAGCCGTGGGGGCGGCCGGGTGCCGGGAACACAGCCCTGCTGCCCCTTAATACTACAGATGGAATTACAAGCATACATATTATTCCTGGGTTTTGGTTATTTGGTGTTTTTTTTTTTTTTTTTTTTTTTGAGATGGGGTTTCTTTGTGTAGCCCTGGCTATCCTGAAACTTTCTCTGTAGCTCAGGCTGACTTTGAATTTGCAGAGATCCACTTGCTTCTATCTCCAGAGTGCTAGGATTAAAAGTGTGCACTACCACTACCTGGCTCATTTCTGGCTTTTATTACAGGGGTCCTGGAGATTAAACTCAGGTTACCAAGTGAGTTATCTCCCTTAAGAAATAGTATTGAAAAACAAAATCCCAAGTGTTTTGCTGCAAAGTTTTGGTTTATTTTTCAGATATATGTGTGCTTCTGTGGTGCTACTACGGTTGCTCTGAGTAGCAAGAAGAGTGTTACAATTTAGGGGTTGGTCTCCAGTGTGGCACCATTGGAAGGAGGTGGAATATTTAGCAATTTGAACCTAGTGGAAATTTTACTGGGGATACGTCCTTATAAGAGACTGTGGGTCACTTACCCCTGAGTCTTTCCCATGTGGTATGAAAGGTTTGCTTTGCTACATACTCCTGCCTGTGTGCTGCCTCAGTCAATCCTTATAATGGAACTTCCAAAACTGGGAGCCAAATGAAGTCACTTCTAAGTAAACTGTCTTAGGCATTTCTTAAGGGTGAGGGAGAGTTGGCTAGAACAGAGGAACATCACCACTAGGAACAAAAGTGCCTTGATGCCATCTAAAAGGTATTCCTATCCCCACTCATTCCCTGTTAGAAGCAGCTGCCAGCCCCTCCCGCTTCAGCCTTCATTTGCTTTAGTGCAGTTGGTACCTATGTGTGTGGGCTACTGAGGTTGCTCGTGCTCACCAACATCCACAAGCTGGGGATGCCTATGCCTGTTCTACAATGTATGCCCACCTCGATGAGCTTTGATCCCATCACCTGCCTAAGTCACCTGTATCTTGGAGACCCTAGTCCAGGACTCCCAAACCTATTTCTCATGATGTGTAACTAATGAGATAGCTGGCAGATGCCTTTGGAGATAGTCTATTCATTTAAGAAAAAAATCACATCTCTTAGGAAGGGGATGCTTGAAAAGAATATCAGAGAAAAATGAGTGTTACAAGCTGCTTTTCTTCCTCCTCTCTGTTCTAGAGTCACATGTGGGTTCAGGTCTGTCCAAAAGAGTTCCTACTCAGGCTTTCCTCAGCAGCCTGCCAGCTATGGTCCTTGTGTCTGGATGCATCACATCCCAGCCTCCAGCCCCCGTGTCAAGAACAGGTGTGTCTAGGTCCCTAGAGTCTTCCCTGCATCTGACAGTGGGCAATCCCTGTCAAGTTAATTGACTGGTTCTTGTGGCCTCCATGCTGACAGCTTCCAATCTCTCAATCAGGCCTCTGTTCCTAGGGCTATGAATGATATAAACATCGGGGCATGCCCTGCAGACACTTTGGTGATGTCCTTTGGTAAGAAACACCAGATATAGATTTCTGCAACTGCCTATATGAGCAGGGCCTGTGAATGTTGTTCTTTCTCAGTCTACAGGAGAAGGAAATGACAGCCACTCATGGTACTATGGTATGTACATACAGCAGAATATTTTTTTGCTTTGACCATAACGATTATATACTTAAGCACTGGCTAGACGAATGAAGACAAAAGAAACAGAAACCAGGTCTGTCTATGAAGGGCCTTCCAAGGTAGAAAGGCAACACTAAAACAAGGGACAAGAGTAGAAAACATGAGAGAGCATCTAGCACAGCACACACCATGCCTCAGCAGCGCCTACTTTGGTAAAACAAAACAGAATGCAAGGACAAAGTAAACAAATGTAAGCAAACCTCAAACACACATCTTTCCTTAAGCCTTCTCTCTGTGTGAGCTGGAGAATCTGCTTCCTCCACACACCATTTCTCATAGCAATGGCCTCCTAGAGTTCCTCCCTCTTCACAACATATTGACTTTGTAACTTTTCCTGGTGGGCTTCAGATGTGTCTACACTCACGAGTCCATACTACCAAGATTAGTATGGCCTTGTCATATACATTGGCCAGCATCTCAGCTCTAGGATTGGAGGGCTGCCTTCTCCTATACAACTGCCTTTTGCTCCTGCTTTCCAATAGCTTTCCCTAGCTTTCTAGGGGCCACTTTACCATACCCAAATTTCTTACCTGTTAATACCCTTTGCTAGAACATCCTCCTCCTTCATCCAACTGCTTCATGTCCCCTGTTCTTTTCCTTCTGTTCATTTCCAAGTGATTTTCAAGATTTTTTGTTCAACATAAATAATATGCTGCACTGGGGATACAGCTCAGGGGTCGTGTACTTACCTAGCAAGCCCAAGTTTCTCAGCTCACTCTCCAGTATTACAAAAAAGGTATATCGAAATCTTAATTATTTAGATATGGGGTTGTTATAAGTATAATTAGTTAAGATGAAGCTGTACCATAGAGGGTGGGTTCTAATCCAATGACTGATGTCCTTATCAGGATAGGGAAATTTGAGCACAGATACTGAAAAGATTGCATTTACGTGCCACAAGTCAAGCAGCCTTGCACATGAAAAAGAGGAGCGACTTTTCCAAAGTAGGGGCGGTTGAGATATGATATGTGCCATGCTAGATGTTTTTCATGTCTACAGCCACAAAAAGGCAGGGCTACCATCCTGACTTTGGTCTTCTGGACTCCTGAACAGCAACAAAGTAGCTGCTGTGTCAAGCCATGCATTTTGTGGTCCTTGTTTGCAGCACTAGGAAACCTGCAGAGCAATCGTGCTAGCCCTTAGAGGTTTAAATTTTACATCTAAATCTCAGTCTCATTTTGAACTGTCTTTACCGCTCTGGGCTCATATCTGACAGCCTGGAACCTCATATGCTTTATCACAGTCATGTCAAAACTCACAGTTCTTCCTCTGTCTTCCTCATTCTGCTAAATGGATCCAACATTCCCATCCCCACCCAGGACTGGTCTCCTATTCCCCGTTCCCTTTATTCCCCCCCCCACCCACTTCATCCGTGTGCCCACATCCAAAGTCTACCTCAAATCAGTTCCTATTCCTCTTCTCCCCTGGCACTGCTCTGGCCCCAGCGACTGCTTCACTTGGTGCTGGCTCCAATAGCCACGTGTTTCAAGTCCT